ACAGCATGAACTCACTCCTCCAGGGAGTTAGGCAAGAACTCACAGATCTTGGTGAGTAGCTCTCTACCAGGACATCAAATTGGGAAAGCGTTTGTGTTTAGTTTTTTGACAGAAGGGACACAAAGACTGATAAAGGAAAAATGTGTGCAGGAAAAGTTAACAGCATGGCTGTGGCTGAAGAATAAGGTGCATGGTAGGCAGCAGAGAGAAACAGAAAGATAAGCAGTAACCTCTTGGTAAGGATCCTGACTGGGTTTGTGATGATGGAACAATAATGTTTCGACTGTTATCACCAAGAGGGAAGGGTTAATGTGTTACACAGGATGTGTCATGGCAACCAGGCATCTGTGCAGAGGGCACTTATTTTCAGAGCCCACTCCAAAGAAAAAGTAATCACTCAAGCCAAAAGATGTTTAATCTACTCTTCCCTCCCCACTCGTCAATTATAGCTCCAAATAATGCTGATCCAAGACGGATACTGCATACCCCAGAAGTGCCTTAGATTTGCCCAAGGCCAATCATTCCTGAGGCTAAATTTCAGAAGCTAAGGATTATTTGCAAAAGTCATTAAATTAAGAGGTAAAAGTGAGCATTCCTGCACAGGAACCTAAGAATAAAATAGTGAGAAGCATGCAGAAGGCGGCTGGTGAATGTTACTACCAGTTTCTTAGCGAGGCTCAACTAGAGACAAATACAGCAAGCTATTATATATCCCCTTGATGGATAGCTGGATGTAACCATATATATAATAAACTTTGTAGAGTTTTCAGTTCAAAGTGTGGCTTTAGTCGTCATCTTTGCCATCTTCATAAATTCCCTAGCTAAACAACTCCTCTGGATATTGTTTTGTATGTAGGTGTCTGTCCTGAGCAGACAGCCAAGAGTCTAGTGTTCAGAGTGAACAAACAGGTAACAAGGCCCCCGTCCAGACTGCTGTCTGGATGTGTTGCCTGCCATACCAGTTTGAGGTGCTTGGACTTTATCCTGTAGGCCAGAAATTCCTTATCTCTGCAGTAAATGCTCTATACAGATACTGACCTCTCAGACCTTGGGATAACCAGGTAGGACTTGGGACTGTCATAGCCCTGGAGTATTATTTTTCAGTCACAAATAATCTCTTTGATTTAGCTCCATATGTGCCTAAAAATGTTACTGTTTCCTGTGTCTTAAGAGGTGAAAAGACCAGCAAGCACTCCTGCAATGGGGAACCGTCACAAACTCGACAATTCCCTCTATTACCCTAAAACATAGGTACCCCCAAATTTAATGTTTTGGATGTCCCTTTGGACCAGAGAAATATGCATGTAGAACAGAAGACCTGGGACCTCCACACTGGGATAATGAAGGCAGATTATCAGGGAGGATTGAGAGCAGAGAGGTGAAGTCATCATTAAATTAAGCTTTGAGATGCAATTACATGAAAGATAGTGAATAGCTGCTATCCATCTCTTCTCAGAAATGAAATGGAACTGTGTTTAAACTGCAGCCTAAGGAATTAATGTTAGATACAAGGATACAACAGAACCAATTCCATGCTCCCAAGACACATGTGTTTACAGTATGGGAAGCCTACTTGTGTACCTATCATAGTCTGCTTTGATTTGAATTCATTGTGTATTCATTTGCCATGCTTATTCATGCTTGTAGCCACAGTGTCTAACACAGTGCCTCACATGGAGTAGGCTCTCAGTAAATATTTGTTGCATTGCATTAACTTGTTAAGTGATGGTGATCAGGAAAGACAGGCTGGTGTTCTCTGAAAGTTATTAAATACAGAACAGATTTACTCACTTGAAATGTCTTAGGAATCATGGATCACAGAACCATGATGTATTCTCTTACTCATTTTTATTTCTCACATCTCCATCTCCCAAGTTCTAAACTAAGAAATTTATATTTCCTTCCATGGAGATGGTTGACTTGCTGAATTTTCAAGAGGAATATCGTATCTATTATGTTCCTTTGAGCTTAAATCTATGAGATGTCCTTTAGTATAGATACAATCTATAGTTGAAGATTTCCCATTCTGTTTGCTACACGTTTTGAGTACATTATGGTGTTCCTGATTATTCGGTTGCAAGTTTTTCACATTCTTGTGCTGCCATCTTCCCCCCTCCCTGACTACACACTCTACCTGAGTTGGACAAGGGACCAATTAATGTGTTGTTTTATCTACTGTGTGTACTTTCCTTATCTTGAAATAGGAAAAGAAAAAAATGGGAAAACATCATCTTTGCTACTTGTCTGAGTTTAAACAATCTTATAACTTTACTAGGACTTATAAAAAAAGAAAACTAAATCATTGGTGATCAATAAAACTGTGATTTGTATTATAATGCCACAAGTCTTAAAACCTGCTATATCAGGCAGGGTCCTGGCAGGGAGCAGATGACACACTCCAGGAATAACTGAGGAGAGTTTAATGAGGGGGTAGTTTCACAAAAAGGGGGCAGAGTCACGGGAGCCAATAAGCAACAGTGAAGCACCCAGGAATGAGTCCCACTGGGGAGCCGTACCATCCATAGAATTGGAAGGGCAAAATTAAGGACCTGATGGAAGCTAAGCTCTGAGAGAGGGGCTTCCTGATAGGAGCTGTGGTCTTAAGTAGAGGAACACAATGACCAAAGCCTGGCAGGAGGTAAATAACCCATTCCTCTCTCCTCACACCTTCTAATCTTCTGATGGTGGCACCCATTGGCCAAACCCAGTAGGAGGTCTGCAGATACCTGCCTCCTAGGATATAGAAAATGGGGGGAAAGGGTAAAGACTATTTCTAGAGGGTCCAAAAATACACAGCCAGTCACTGTATCTGTCATGGTATGGTGACAACCCCTACATGGCAAACCCCTACTTAGAATCATTCAAGAGGTCACCTGCAAAGCATCTATTTACAATACTGTACATTACATAAGGGAACACAAGGGATAGGGCAGTAACGTGGAGTTAGTAGAAGTGAGGCTGCTACTACTCCAGCCCCAAAAAGACAAGGGTATAATGCTGTTACCAGAACTTGGAAAGAGTATGTAGGAGAAGCTGCCTTGAGAGAAACACAAAGCTTTGTGCGTGGACACCCTGACCTCCTCCTCATGCCTTTTAGGCTCCCACCAGGGATTCCTATTGTTCAAAGCAAACTAGAGGCCAGAAGGCAAGGGAGTCCTTGTGACATGTCCATATAAGTCAGCACCCTCCTCCCCTGCCCCAGTGAAGAACAAAGTGGAGAAGAGTGACAAGTGAATCTAGAGGAACCAAAGACATCTGGCATGCCCGCTTACAACTAAGTCACTAACTTTTCCCTCCTTCCCTCCCTTTCTTTCCTTTCTTCCAACAAACTTTATTAACCTTTGTGCCAAGCACTGTGCTAGATGCTCTCACATATATTATTTTTTAACGCTTAAAACCTCCTTTGAAGGCAGGGGATGTTATTTTTCCCTAAGCAAGCATCCTCTATTGTGTTGATCTCTCAGTGATTTTCAACTGTTTTAATACAAGAGCTCTTAAAAAAATAAAACCTCACTGGAAACCTAATGTATGAAACCGATAAACCAATATTTCTTAGCAGAAAATTTAAAATATAAATTTACTTTTCCTTATTATTAGGTTTACCAAGGAGAACAGTAACAATATTTTTGATAAATACAAGTTTGAAATCTATTTTACTGCCCTAGGTTGGCATCAGCAACCACAAACATTGACAGTCTCCCTGAAACTGACAATCGCTGATATAAGTGACTAGGAAAACATGAAGCTTTAACTTTCAAATCTACAACTCCTCAGCAAAGCCTCTTTTTTTTTTTCTTTTTTCTTTTTAATCAAAATCTGATTACTAAAACACATGAGATGCAACTGACAGCTATACTTTTCTGGTCACCTGTTCAGGAAATATCTCATCCCTCTGAAAACTCAGCCTTTACGCCTCAGTTATCGAACACTTTGGAGCAGCTTAGCCCAGGAAATGAAGGCTCTTGTTAAAAACATAGAGATTTAGGAAGCCAGGACGTGATTAACCATGTGGCATTTTGCCAAATGAGCAGTTAACAACCAGGGCCAGGAAAACAAGTGCTGATTAGTAATCCCTGGGCTTAAAAAAGCGGTTTAGACCCAATCCTAACAATCCACTGTGACAGACCAGAAAATTCCTAGCCTATTGTAGCTGGAACTGTGCTGCCTTTAAAAAAGTATTAGTCTAATCAAAATGTATTCATCAGGGCTTCTACATGTTTTTTTAAAAAACCATGATTATTTACATTTAAATTTAGTACACTAGAAATCTCATAGGTGTGCTCTAGAAAACATAAAATTAAACTTTGAATGTACTTTATTTTTTATTTTTATAGATTTGAAAGGTAGACATGCAGGTTTGTTACATGGATATATTGTGTAATGGTGAGGTTTGGGCTTCTAGTGTACCCACCACCCAAACAGTGAACATTGTACCGAACAGGTAATTTTTCAACCCTCACCCTCCTCCCACCTTCTCCACTTTTGCAGTCCCCAGTTTTCCCAGTTTTATAATTTCCCTCTGTATGTCCATGTGTATCCATTATTTAGCTCCTGCTTATAAGTGAGAAAATGCAGTATTTAATTTTCTGTTTCTGAGTTATTTCACTTAGGATAATGGCCTCAAGCTCCATCCATGTTGCTGGAAAGGACATGACTTCATTCCTTTTTATGGCTGCATAGTATATATATATATATATATCACATTTTCTTTATCCAGTCAACTGCTGATGGACACTTAGATTGGTTCCATGACTTTGGTACTGTGAATAGAATCTACTCATGATGTTTTTAATGGTTAATATTTTTTAATGCTTTGATGTTGAATTTAGTTATTCATTCATTTAACACATATTTGAGTGTTGGCCATGTATCAAGATGTGTTCTAAATACTGGTGATAAGTCTCAGTGGGCTAATCCAGGAAGAACACAGACTCTGAAGTTGATCAGAATTGGGATACCAGTTTTAAATACATTTGAGTGCAAGAAACAGAATGCCAAGCTTACACTGGCTCAAATTATCCTTTTTATTTCTGTCCAATCTATAGAAGTCTGGAAGAAAGTCGCTGCTGACTGTGGTTCAGGGGCTTGGCCATGAGGGGCCACATCTCTGCAGTGCTCTTAATCCTTCTCTCATATTCATCACTTCATGGTGACCAGATAGCTGTGAGGGAAGCAGAGACATGAGGAATGAGTTGGTAGTGGTGGTAGTGTTGGGAAGAGGAGTTATGCATATTTTAGCTGGGTCATGTTGAGTCAAGAGACTCCATGATGTGATGACACATGACACATGTGTTCTGTGGCCAATGAGAGATACAGAACTTTATTTAAGGACAGAAGTCAGAGTTGATGAGGCAAGGTAGTGTGATCCCCAGTGTTGGAGATGGGCCTGGTGGAGGTGTTTGGGTCACAGGGAGGATTCCTCATGAATGGCTTGGGGCCATCCCTATGGTAATGAGTGACTTCTTCCTCTGAGTTTACCCAGAGAGCTGGTTGTTTAAAGGGTGTGGCACCTCCCCCGCTCTCGCCATGTGAAGTGCCTGTTATCCCCTCACCTTCTGCCATGACTGTAAGCTTCCTAAGCCCTCACCAGAAGCCAAACAGATGTTGGCACCATGCTTCTTGTACAGCCTGCACAACTGTGAGCCAAAATAAACTTCTTTTCTTTATAAATTACCCAGCCTCAATCATTCCTTTATAGCATTGCAAAATGGCCAAACACATCCCCTCCTACCTAGTTCCAACCAACAGAGGCAAAGGACAGCCATTTACACTTCTGTGGCCTTCCAAAGTCATCTCTGTCCACAGAGTAATGGGAAGTTCCTTACACTACTGCAGCACCAAAGGAAGTGGGGTGGTGGGGGAAAACCAGGCAAATTATCAGTGACGGAATGATTGTAAAAAGAGGTAGAGTTCAAGGAAAGTAGGAGATTGTGATTGGAGAACACCATGGAGTTCAAATGTGGTCTTTCACATGGAAAGAACAGAGCCAAAACATTGCTAAGATGATGAAATTGAATGAAAGATCTTTGTCTCTCTGTATCTTCACTTGAAAGGAGAACTTTAACCTTTTCCATAGGAAAAAAAAAAAAAACAACGAGGTGGTTACTCTAATCTCACAGAATTCTGCCTCTTTTAACATTGGAAAGTCACCTACTAGTCACCTAGTCCAGGCTGTCACCTCTTCCAAAACTACCTTGGTAGCTGGCTGTTTGGCATTTCCCCAGGCACTCATGGGGATGGATGCTCATTACTTGGTGAAGCAGTTCATTACTTTCTGGGCAGGCCTGATTTTTAGACAATTGTCCTTGACATGCAATTGTCATTTGCCTCCCCGTAGCTTTAATTTATTGGTCCCAGTTTTATCTTCAGGTGCTTCATGAGTAGATACTTTCCTTTTCTCAAATGAAGGGGCTTCCAATGCTTCAATGCTCTTTTCAGATTTCCACTAAGAATTTCTTTTTATTTGAGATTGAATATCCTAGCTCTTCAACCTTCCCTTTAGTTCCATGGCTTTGGAACTCCTCACCATGCTGGTCTCTATCTCTCAGTTGATCATGCAAGCATGAGGCACCCAGAGCGGGAGACAGCATTCTGTTTACAGGTTGAGTGGCATGGAGAACACTGGGACAACTCCCTCTCTGAAGTTGGACACGGATGCTTCAACTACTATAGCCCAAGACTGCATTTGTCTCTCTAGCATGATGAGGCTATAACCCCATCTTCTGGGATTTTAGTGTACTACCACTTAGCTCTGTTTTCTTCTTGTGGTTTTGCATGGTACACATGAAATTTATCCCGACTTCTCCTTGTTTTATGACCTGGGTTAAATTCCACCCCCGTTTCTTACCCATGGGAAATTTCTCATTACCAAGAACCATGATTTCTGCTTCTACTTCCCTAACTGAAGTATTAGTTCAGTTTAGTTTGGTGATATTTATTGCATCATGTGTCAAGAATTGTATTATGTGCTAAGATGGAGTGAGGGGATACGGATGAATTAGAGCACAATTACTACCCTAGGACGGATTGCTGGCTGGAGGGAGAAGACACCCACATACACACACTGTTACAATGTGACATAGGAAGAGCTGTGCCACATAAGCACAGTGACTACGGGGCCCAGATGGGGAACTCTTGGCCCAAAGTAGAAATTCAGGGAAGGAGTTTCAGAAATAGAAGTATTTTGAACAGTAACAATTAAGGGGTATCGAGAAGAATGTGGAAAGACAGAAAAAAAAGGAAAGAACAAAGTCAAGGAGGCAGGAAGCACAATGGTGTGCGTGAGAAGCTACAGGCTATTTGGCAGTGCCAGAGCATCAAGTACTAGAAAAGGAGAGGCAAAGTCATGAAAACCTTACTTTCAAGCTAGGGCTTGACTCTGTAGGCAATGGGGAACCTTGAAATGTTTCAAGAAGCTGTAGCAGGGGGAAGGGGGAGTAATCAGATTTGCATTTATCACTCTGCTCTCTGTAGAAAGAATATATTTTGATGTGGCTAACCTGGAGATAGGCAAATAGGTTGGGAATAATTAGGAGTCTAATGTGTTATTTCAAGTAAGAGATGTTGAGGACCTTAATGAAGACGTGGTAGTAGTACACACAGTATAACAGATGCAGTTGGAGGCCTTGGTTGTGGAAATCTGTGAATGGCAGAGAGCAACAATAACAGCCAAATTCCAGATTAATTCCTAGAGATCTAGATCAAATGGCTAGGAGGATGGTGATAAAACTAGCTGAGAGGGTGGAGGAGATGTTTGGAAATCATGAGTTCAAGCTTAGACATGTGGAACTTTAATTGCTTACTGAACATCCAAGTATAACATCCAGCAAATAATTGTATTTATAAATCTGACTGTCACAGGAGAAACCAGACTGAGAGATGGGGATCTTCAGTTCCTCAGTGGAAGTTAAGATCATGCGAAGAGATGAGCTGGTACAAGAAGAATATATAGAGGAATAGCCAAAGGGCCAGTGTATAACCATTAAGCATACAGTTATTTAAGACAAATTTTCCAAATAAGTACAGCATGATTTCCTTGGTTGACAGAGCCAAATTAGACTTTGTGCCCAACTTTTAAAAATCAGGGAATTTTACCTGAAAATGAAGATTTCCAGATTCTCTTAAGACCAGGAGCTCTGGCCCCACTGGGCTTGCATTTTCATGTAGCAACATTCCACCAGAGCTGAGTAGCAGTTTTCTTCTTTGAATGAGATACCTGTTCTCCAATTCTTTACTGTCTCCACTGTCTTTAAAACACCAAGGCCAATGTCAACTTCTATTGATCATTACGTTGGTGCTGCTACTTCTTATAGCTGTTTCATTTTTTAAAAATATTTCTTGCCTGGCCTGATAGGCATTTGAGTTTTTAATTCCTGGCATAAAAGATGAGCAAAGTTAAGAGGATCACATTAGGGAGATGAAGAAGCATGGTCAGAGAAATGGGGAGAAATCAGGAAAGAAATGTTCTAGTTGTTAAGAAATTTCAAGAATGAGAAGTTCAATAGTGTCAAGTACTAGAGAGAGGCTGAGCAAGGTAAGAATTGAAGTGCCTGGATTCCTCAAGAATCTAAAACTAGAAATACCATTTGACCCAGGAATCCCATTACTGGGCATATACCCAAAGGATTATAAACCATTCTGTGATAAAGACACATGCACATGTATGTTTATTGCAGCACTATTCGCAATAGCAAAGACTTGGAACCAACCCAGATGTCCATCAATGATAGACTGGATTAAGAAAATGTGGCACATATACACCATGGAATATTATGCAGCCGTAAAAAAGGATGAGTTCATGCCCTTTGCAGGGACATGGATGAAGCTGGAAACCATCATTCTCAGCAAACTAACACAGGGACAGAAAACCAAACACCACATGTTCTCACTCATAAGTAGGAGTTGAACAATGAGAATACATGGACACAGGGAGGGGAACATCACACACTTGGGCCTGTGGGGGGTGGGGGATTATGGGAGGGATAACATTAGAAGAAATACCTAATGTAGGTGACAGGTTAATGGGTGCAGCAAACCACCATGGCATGTGTATACCTATGTAAAAAACCTGCACATCTGCACATGTAACCCAGAACTTAAAGTATAATTTTTAAAAAAAGAACTGAAGTGCCTGTTGGGTTTATCAATATGAACAACACTGGAGACCTTTAGAGAATCATTTTTAGCACAGCGATGGATGTTGGAAGTGAGATCTCAGGGATGTGAGGAGTGAATGGGAGATGAGCAAATGGAGACAAGTTAATTTTCCTCTCCAGAAATTTTGACTGGAAAGGGAGGAACAGGGCCAGGTGCAGTGGTTCATGCTTGTAATCCCAGCACTTTGGGAGGCCAAAGTGGGCGGATCACAAGATCAGGAGTTCGACACCAGCCTGGCCAACACAGTGAAACCCCATCTCTACTAAGAATACAAAAATTAGCTGGGCATGGTGGCGGGCGCCTGTGATTCCAGCTACTCAGGAGGCTGAGGCAGGAGAATCACTTGAACCTGGGAGGCAGAAGTTGCTGTGAGCCAAGATCACGCCACTGCACTCCAGCCTGGGCGACACAGCTGGTCTCAATCTCTTGACCTTGGGATCTGCCCGTCTCGGCCTCCCAAAGAGCTAGGATTACAGGCACAAGCCACTGCACCTGGCCTTATTCCTTCTTTTTAAAATGATTTAACCTTCATGTGAACATAATAGGGCACCACTAAGCATCAAGACTAGGCCTATTTTGCTGACAAAACAAAAGTGAAAACAAGCTGAGAGATTTAAAACTTTCTTCAACCAGTGATCATGGGCCCACCACCTATGCTGTGTTCCTGAAAATTAAGAAAAAAATCTGTAAATAAAGTTTCATTTAATTCATTATTATACAAAATAACCTTCTCTGACTATGAAAGTACCAAGACCTTGCAACACACTTCCCTTCCTCAAGGAGCACACTGACAAGGACACTGAGAACACATGTGTGGCCACAGGGTTTTTGGTTATGCTGATGTCCGCATGTTCCTTAGCTGGGGACTGTTAGCACTCCCTAAATATCCCCCAGGTGTTCCTTCAGAGTTTTTTTGATGTTATTTTGTCTTTTGTTCTTCTTGTTGTCGTTTTTTAAATGGCAGCTTTGTTGAGACCCACCCCAGTTGTTGTGTAGTACTCTAAGCTACCCCACCACCATCTGCCAGCTGGATTGCCTCCTTCATTCCTTTGTTTGGAAAAATTCTAGAGTCCCCAACTGTGTCATGGGTCCCCAAGATCATCCCAGATTTGGTGTTCACTAGAGGACTCGCAGGACTCAGCTAAGTCACACCCCTGTGACTCATTGCAGTGAAATGATACAAAGAAAGGTCAGCAAAGGAAAAAGGCACACAAGGTGAAGTCAGGAGGAAACCAAGCACACGCTTCCAAGAGTCTTTTCCAGCAGACTCATACAAGACATGTTGAATTCTTCCCGCCATGAATTGTGACAACACATGTGAAAATACTATCTACCAGGGAGGCTCATTAACGATTCAGAACCCAAGGTTTTTTGGTAGCTGGTCACATTGGCACCCTCTGCCTACCACATACTGAATTTCAGACTCCCAGAAGGAAAGCAGGCGTTTGACAGAAACCATATTGTTTGGATAGACAGTTTAGTTACAGTGAACCATTCTTATCGCTTATGGAAAGTTTTGTGTCAGTCTAGGGAACTGTTTACTATTCAAGTTTCCAGATACCAGCCAAGGGTCAACATTGCAAGCAGCTGGTCTAAGCATTGCAGCCTCAGGCCTGCTATTGTTCATTCTTTTCTGCATACCAACATTAATAAGATATTGATTGATTACAACAAATTTACCTTGCATTACTGCCTCAGAGCTCTTATCACTAATTACAATTATAAGGTATTATACGTATATATGTATTTAATTACCTACTTGTTTATTTTCTGCCTCTACCACTAGAATGTAAGCTTATGAGGGCAAGGACTTTGTCATATTCACGGCTGTATCTTTAGCACTTCAAACAAGGCCTCCTCCATTATGGGCACTCAACAAATACTGATTGAAGGGATGAAAGAACAGATTAACAGTTCAACCTAGGATAGAGTCAGATGTGAGATTTTTGTGGAGTACTTGGCAAATACAAGTCCTTCATGGGTGGCCATGACTATCAGATCAAAGAAGGCCTGAGCCATGCTCTTCACGGGCAGTGTTGTTATAGAGATTCCTGGTCTGGTGCACTTCTAAAGTCAGAGTCTCTGGAGATCTCACCTGCAGCTGTATGAAGAAGAAAGCATAAGAATGTTCTCTATCTGCACATTCTTTTCCCTTTCTCTTATTAAAAATAAACATTGTGCTGGTGAGTTTTTCCTGTGTTCCTCCCCACTCTCAGAAACAGTTCTAATGTCCAGATTAAGTATTTCCTAAGGGGAGAGAAAACTATATTCCTTTTGTAGAATGACCATCTGTGCAGCCTTGGAGAAACCCTAGAGGACTCATGAATGGAAAAGGATCTCCGGGCCAAAAATCAGTTCTCACTTAATGTCTTCTCTGGCTATTGCTCTGGCAGTTGAATGGAGTCAGGTTTTCATCTTATGTAATATGACAGGACAATTCAACTTCCATTGAGTGTAGCAAATATCCCTAGAGCTACAGAGGACAGAACTAAGTGGTTACATAAACACATATGGAAATGTAAAAATTTTAAAGAGAGGCTAAGTACTCCAAGGGACATGTTACCCCCAGGGGAAATTAACAGTTAGATCAACAAGCAGAGCTCTCCTCTAAGTCACACATAGATTTCACACAGTTTATGGCCATACTACTGGAGGGGAAAATGACTTTATGTACACATTTTTCATGACTTACTCTGAGAAGGAGAAAATACGCAACACCTTTTATCTCAGAATATCAGGAGACAGAAAAAGAATGACCATGGGGCATGCTAGTTAGGGTCAGAACAAACAATGTATTAATCAGGGATTCTGCCAGAAGCAGCATACTCAAAACAACTTATTGAAAGCGATTTAATTAAGCGACTAGTTACAAAGGTATGGACAGGTTAAGGGAACCAACAAAGGATGATGAGGCCTCCAGGGACTAATAGCAACAGGAAACCTGTTCTACTTTTAGGCCTGAAGGCAGCAAAGGGTGGAAGTTATGTTATCAAAACCAGCACAATCTATAGTCCTAGGAGAGAAGTCACCCAATAGGAGCTACAGCTATGTGCAGACAGAGCCCGAACCATGAGGAAATTGGAGGGAGAGCGCATGGAGATAGGGGGAACAAATATAAGTAGCCCAAACTCTTTTTCTTCCTACCTACCAGTTTCTTGCTGATGCCTCTCACTGGCCAAACCCAACAGGAAACCACCAGGGGCAAGGAAGTCTGTGTAAGAAAGAGCACAGGGGTCAGCTTCCCGAGGCACAGCAGGTTACAGAAGGGCCAAGAATGGGCAGACAAGGAGGAGATGGCATGTGGACAAAAATCAGCACAAATAACGCCTACTAGCCCTAGAACCACTCAACTGCAGACAAGGGTTGACATTTGTTGGATGTGCTAGGCACAGTCCTATGCCCTTTATATGAATCATCCCACTGAATACTCACGATGCGATGTATTGTGAAATCAACTAAGTTGAAGCTTCAGGCCCCTCTATTGCATAGATACCTTTCAGGGACCTCAGAGGGACCCTAGCCATAAATGTACACAGTGCTTTATGGAAATTTTGCAAATGTAAGACATGTTTACCTTAATTAATTAAGGTTACTATCTCTTTCCAATCAGACTTCGCTGCTGTTATGTTTGCTTTCCTGTCAGGTGGCATTGAGTGTCTGTGGGAATTTTTGGGATATGGCTAATGGGATGTTGACGTGGGATTACACTTAAGTTGGGTTTATTGAGAGATTTTTAGGTGGCTTTCAATCACGGCAGTGTAGAAAGGGCATCCAGGAAAACTCTTTTGTCTACTGTGCTGATTCATTATGGAATCAAGCTTCACGGCCAGGGGTCGTGGTACAAAAGTGAGATACAGTACATAATACCGGACATATGGCTATGGAGGAGACACAAGATTTGAAAAACTCGAGGCGGAAGCTAGCCTCTGTGGAATTCTAATCATAGGATGTGTGAAATTGTAAGGGGAGGGTGGAATTCTCATTGATCCCTAGACAATATGGAAGTTTTTTCTTGGCAAAAATATACTGTAAAATTCAGTGCATACACTTGTAACAGCATTGTACTTTTATTTTCCTTCTTTGATGAGAATTGTGTGAAGTAGAATAGTAGAATTTCTGTGCCTGGCGGGCATATACCAATATCAGCACTGCTTATATGCAAATCATCACAAATTCTACGTTTTATCATGTATTTTGCAGGCCACCAAGTAAAACTGAGAAAAAGATACACATAAGTATACTACAAAGTAATGTAATAATAGCAAATATTTACTAGCATGTACTGTATCTGGCATTGTGCTAAGCATTTTATACATACTAACTCAGTTAATCTTCACAGCAACCCTTTGAAGCAGATTCTATTGTTATCCTCTTCCTGTCTTTTCTGTTTTTTTTTTTGTTTTGTTTTGGTTTGGTTTGGTTTGGTTTTTTTGAGACTGAGTTTTGCTCTTTTGCTCAGGATGGAGTGCAGTGGCACGATACTGGCTCACTGCAATCTCCACCTCTCAGGTTCAAGAAATTCTGCTGCTGCAGCCTCCCAAGTAGCTGGGATTACAGGTGTCCACCACCACGCCCAGCTAATTTTTGTAATTTAGTAGAGACAGAGTTTCACCATATTGGCCAGGCTGGTCTCGAACTCCTGACCTCAAATGATCTACCCACCTTGGCATCCCAAATTGCTGGGATTACAGGCATGAGCCACCAGCTGCCACACCCCGCCCTGTCTTTTACTTTTAAAAGACTAAACTCATTACTGGGATCAGAATTTGAGGTGAGAGAGGAATACTTCTGGGGAAGCATGATCAAAGAAGACTTTTCTCAAGATGAAGTCCCAGGGACTGGAACAGATCTCTGTGGCTGGGCCCAAGGGCGGTGCCATGGCATGCCAAGGATGACCAAGGATAAAACATAGTGTGGAAATAGCTGACTGCAGACTTCAAGGAAACCCTTGGGCTGAGACAGTGGGGCATTTCAGCAATTAGTAGACTATTTAGTAGGGTGGGGGCCTGAAATTACCATTAAATTCATTTATGAAAAGTAAAGAAATTAATTTTGTTTGCAGAGTTTGAGGAATAAGAGTTATATTTGCTATTTAAGTTTAACTCTGTGAAAATGGAACCAAAGGAATTATACACCTTGGCTTCATCTCCTTCAAAATCTGAAACATCTAAGAAAAAGAATATTGGTTTGGGGACCATAAATAACTGACTTTGAATTCCAGCTCTGCTATTTATTAGCTAAGTGACCTTGAAAAATGTGTAACATTTCTGTGAGCCTCAGTTTCATCAACTGTAAAAATGGGAATAATAGTGACTTAATACTGTCATTGTAGGAATTGTCTCAGTGCATTTAAAACTCCTGACCTGCTTCTTCATAACAGGCATTTAAATATTGGTTTGCATTATCAATGAAAATAAAATATAAACACATTTTCTGGAAGAAAATATTGCAGAAGCACAAATTACATACTACCCTTTCAATACCACCTAGCTAATATGCTTTATGAAGAAACTCAACTGTAATTTTAAAAAATTTTTGAACTCACCCAACGTTTTTTCCCCTGCTTCTAAAACTGGAAACCAAGGAGGTAACGTGTACCCATCTGTGCACCCACACCCTTTTGAATATGAAATTTAAATAAAAGTCTTCTCAGTCTGTTTATACAGTACTCCTTGGCTTTTGAGGCAGATAGATCTGCTTCAATTAGAACCTAATCCTGCTCACCTCATACTTGCAATGCTCTCGCTAAAACTAGTGTGAGAGAGAAACAATAGTCCATTTAATTAAATTATGCTGAAGCCTGAATTCAATCCATCTGTGTATTGAGAAGTTAGATTTTGAATATTGATTATTCTTCCCTGCATGAAAACATCACTATCTGTTCTGCATTCTCTCCCCAATAAGGAATGATGTTTTCCCTACCATAGCAGCTTTTATTTTAAAACAAATTAAATAGGCCCAGTTCTAGACAAAAAAAAAAAAAAAAAAGAATGTTATTGTTTCCCCTTCTCTCTTCAGCTCTCCATTTCTGGCTTCTGGAACTTTACTCTCTGTCCTTACCCCACCCATCTCGTCTCAGGTGGCCACTTTCCTCCGGCTGCCCACTGTGGCTTTCCATTCCTTGGCAGCACCCTGGGCTCCTAGTGTCTCTCTATTTCCTCGCTGCCAGCCATCTTTCTTCTCCTAACAATCTCTTAGGAAGGGTCTGGCTGTGTCTGGGACCTCACCCTGAGCAACACTAGGGATCTCCTCTTTTTTGCCTGCCCAGAAATTACACAAAAGGTGTGTATGGAAATCTGAGTGAACCGATGTCCTGTTTCTAACCTATTTGGGTTGCTTTGGTGACCCATATAGAATCTGAACCCCAATCTAGCTCTCAATGAAGGTGTTCAATAAACTGACTCCATTCTACTCTGTGCAAAAGGGTAAGGGCCTACCCCTTGCCGTAATCAGCTAAGGAAGAAGAGTTGGGTCGATAACTTCAATTCATGATTAAGTGATTAAGGCAGTCACTTGCAGCCCTGACTTTATCATAAAATAATTCAGAAAGCTTTTAATAATATTGAAGCCCTAGCCCCACTCTATCTGACTTAATTGATCTGGTGTTGAGCTCAGGATGTGTAGTTTTTTGTGTAGTTAAAAAAAAATACCACACAAAAAACTTACCCTCTTCACCATTTTTAATTGCGCAGTTAAGGAGTGTTAGGTATATTCACATGCTTGTGAAACAAATCTCCAGAACTTTTTCATCTTACAAACCTGAAACTCTATACCCATTAAACCACAATTCCTCATTTCCCCCTCCTTTCAGCCCATGGTAAGCAGCATTCTACTTTCTGTCCCTATGAATTTGACTACTTTAGATATTCATATAAGTGGAATCACATAGTATTTGTCTTTTTTGTCACTGGCTTATTTCACTTAGCATAATATCCTCAAGGTTTGTCCATGCTGTGGCATGTGACAGAATTTCCTTCCTTTTAAAAGCTGAGTGATACTCCATTATATGAATATACCACATTTTGTTTATCCATTTATCTGTCAGTGGATATTTAGGTTGCTTCCATCTCTTGGCTACAGTGAATAGTGGTGGCACTATGAACATTGGTATGTACCCTTGTTGGACATCTTTTGCCTAGATATGCAAGGGTTTATTTCTGAGCTCTCTATTCTATTCCATTGGTCTACATGTCTGTCTTTATGCCAATTTCACATTGTTTTGAGTACTGTAACTCTGTGAGATGTTTTTGAAATAACATATTACAAAGTGTGTGTCCTTTAGAGTGTGATTCCTCTAATTTTATTTTCAAAATTTGGGGTCTCTGGAGATACCATGTGAATTTCCAGATTAATTTTTCTGTTTCTGAAAAAAATGCTGTGGGAATTTTGACAGGAATTGCATTGAATTTGTAGACTGCTTTGAGTAATATGGACATCTTAACAATATTAAGTCCTCCAGTCTATGAACATGAGATGTCTTTTCATTTATTTGTATCTTCTTTAATTTATTTCAGCAATGATTTGTTTTTGGTATACAAGTCTTTCATGTCTTTGGTTAGGTTTATTTCTAAGAATTTTTATTCTTTTTGACTCCATTATAAATATAATTGTTTTCTTAACTTTCTTTTCAGATTATACATTGTTGGTGTACAGAAATGCAGCCAATTTTTGCATGTTAATTTTGTATCCTGAAACTTAGCTGAATTCGTTTATTAGCTCTAACAGACTTTTTTGTGTGTGAATGGAATTTTTAGGGTTTTTATATATGAAATCACATCATCTGTGAACAGATAATTTTACTTCTTTCTTTCTTATTTGGATGCCTTTTCTATTGTTTTCTTGTCCAATTGCTCTGGCTCATACTTCAGAACTATGTTAAATAGAAGGAGTGAGAGCAGCTATGCTTGCCTTGATCCTGATCCTGATCTTAGAGGAATGAGAATTTTAAAATTTTTCTTGTTTCTGATCTTAGAGGAATGATAATTTTTAAAAAGCTTTTTGAGTGATTCTAATTTGAATCCAGGCTTGAGAATTGCTGGGTTAGGGATTCATTTCCCTCATCCCAGAAAAGCTGGAGCAGAGAAAATCGGGAAGGCACCTTGGGCCCCAAAGTGAAAGCTATGAAGGTAGGCTTCAATAGAATGCTTTTATTAGACCTGGTCATCGTCTCAAACCATTGGGCCTAGAGCATACAAGAAAGTTTCTGATACTGGTGACTAAGTGTTCATTGATTCTCAACAGGGCTGGAGAGGACAAACCTGAGCATCAGGGGTTAACTCTTTTGATAGCCACAG